GTGTCTTTTAAACTGCTGTCGTCAATACGTTTCGGTCCAGTTAGAGCGATAATTATATTAATAAAGTTAATTAGCAGTAACTGGTATTAATAATTAATTGAAATGAGACAATAATAATAATAATAATAATAATAATAATAATAATAATAATAATAATAATAATAATAATAATAATAATAATAATAATAATAATAATAATTTTGAAAGAGAGAATTAAAGTTTATTACAATAAAACTTTGTATTTGAAATACATATTACGGATAATAAAGAATATATCGTTCAATAAATAAAAAGAGTTCTTAGAGAATTTAATAAGATTTATGCCCGGAGTTCAGACATACCCAGGTGATGTGGCATACCCAGGTGATGTGCCATACACGGTTGATGTGGCATACCCAGGTGATGTGGCATACCCAGTTGATGTGGCATACCCAGGTGATGTGGCATACCCAGGTGATGTGGCATACCCAGGTGATGTGCCATACCCAGGTGATGTGGCATACCCAGGTGATGTGGCATACCCAGGTTGATGTGGCATACCCAGGTGATGTGGCATACCCAGGTGATGTGGCATACCCAGGTGATGCAACATTGATGGCATACCCAGGTGATGTGGCATACCCAGGTGATGTGGCATACCCAGGTGATGTGGCATACCCAGGTGATGTGGCATACCCAGGTGATGTGGCATACCCAGGTGATGTGGCATACCCAGTGATGTGGCATACCCAGGTGATGTGCCATACACGGTTGATGTGGCATACCCAGGTGATGTGGCATACCCAGGTGATGTGGCATACCCAGGTGATGCGGCATACCCAGGTGATGTGGCATACCCAGGTGATGTGGCATACCCAGGTGATGTGGCATACCCAGGTGATGTGGCATACCCAGGTGATGTGGCATACCCAGGTGATGTGGCATACCCAGGTGTGGCATACCCAGGTGATGTGGCTACCAGTGTGTGGCATACCCAGGTGATGTGGCAGACCCAGGTGATGTGGCAACCCAGGTAATGTGCATACCCAGTAATGTGGCATACCCAGGTGATGTGGCATACCCAGGTGATGTGGCATACCCAGGTGATGTGGCATACCCAGGTGATGTGGCACACCCAGGTGATGTGGCATACCCAGGTGATGTGGCATACCCAGGTGATGTGGCAGACCCAGGTGATGCGGCATACCCAGGTGATGTGGCATACCCAGGTGATGTGGCATACCCAGGTGATGTGGCATAGCCCAGGTGATGTGGCATACCCAGGTGATGTGGCATACCCAGGTGATGTGCATACCCAGGTGATGTGGCATACCCAGGTGATGTGGCATACCCAGGTGATGTGGCATACCCAGGTGATGTGGCATACCCAGGTGATGTGGCATACCCAGGTGATGCGGCATACCCAGGTGATGTGGCATACCCAGGTGATGCGGCATACGCAGGTGATGTGGCATACCCAGGTGATGTGGCATACCCAGGTGATGTGGCATACCCAGGTGATGTGGCATACCCAGGTGATGCGGCATACCCAGGTGATGTGGCATACCCAGGTGATGCGGTGTTGCAACCCCTGAATGGGTTGCAATGATTAATATATATGTATATGTACATATAATTATTACCTTTTCATATAATTTTATATTGCTTGTATTTGCGATAATAGCTAAATCGTAAATGTATTGCTTTATATTGTTATTTGACTTAGCTTCCTTTGGTTAGGTAGGATGTAACATATTATGTGCTCAGTTAAAGTCTTGATTATCTAACTACTGTAATTATCGCTCTTTGCTCGTTTCCCTGCCGGCTTCTGTTGCTGGGCAGTACTGTCCACGGAGCTATCACGTGATCGAGGGAGGGGTGTGTCCTCACCTCGCCTGAAGTATTCAGTCAGGTCTAGACTCTCTTGGTGGTGGGACAGATTGTCTGTCTCATTATTCTTGTTAGTTCTGTAGAACTCGGTTCACAGAACATTGTATAGACTTAGTGATTTTCGACGTGGTACTGAGGTTGTGTGTCGCATAGACACTCTGAGCAACTCAGGTCCTGAGCTGTAGCTTCTGACCTAACTTGTACTGGTATCTGTGTATTATATCACAGTCGGGGATTTTCTTATGCTGAACTTAGATTCAGTAGTATGGGAGTTTTGTGACGCTTGTGGAGGATCTGCAGATGGTCCCTACTTAGTGTCGTTATATTATCTCCTTGTTCCTGATTCTGTGTCGCAGTTGCTTTTTTATATTGCTATTGGGCTTAGCATTCTTTTTATTGTTCAAGCACACTGTTCTGATTACCAGTTGGTCAAGAAGTTAGTTTATTTGAGGACTTTGTCAGTCACTTGTTTAAGTCTAGTCGAGTCTTGAGACATAGCGAACTACTTAGAGCACTTACACACATACACAAACTTACTTGTACATATTTGTAATATCTTATTAAATGTTAATGTACCAGACGGTACTTAAGAATTATAAATGCGATATGTGCTTTCAGCACAATAATATTGTATACGAGAGAAGTGATTATTATTATTTTGTTGATTACTGTGATTAATTTAATTTAATTTGATAATATACCCTAGACTTAATAAATTTATTAAATTTTATTTTCTCTAGTTAGTAACCTACCAGTTGTAATCCTAAAGCACTAATAATTTATACTGAATTCTAATGGATAATTGGACAAGGATACTGACTAATTGTTACGAAAACCCAGTAACAGGCTGGATGCTAGAAGGGCAGTCCTTTCTAGTATTCACTGGAGATCTCTAAGCTTTTAGAATCGCGTTTTTTGTAACATGTGGCATACCCAGGTGATGTGGCATACCCAGGTGATGTGGCATACCCAGGTGATGTGGCATACCCAGGTGATGTGGCATACCTAGGTGATGTGGCATACCCAGGTGATGTGGCATACCCAGGTGATGCGGCATACCCAGGTGATGTGGCATACCCAGGTGATATGGCATACCCAGGTGATGTGGCATACCCAGGTGATGTGGCATACCCAGGTGATGTGGCATACCCAGGTGATGTGGCATACCCAGGTGATGCGGCATACCCAGGTGATGCGGCATACCCAGGTGATGTGGCATACCCAGGTGATGTGGCATACCCAGGTGATGTGGCATACCCATGTGATGTGGCATATCCAGGTGATGCGGCATACCCAGGTGATGCGGCATACCCAGGTGATGTGACATACCCAGGTGATGTGACATACCCAGGTGATGTGGCATACCCAGGTGATGTGGCATACCCAGGTGATGCGGCATACCCAGGTGATGCGGCATACCCAGGTGATGTGGCATACCAAGGTGATGTGGCATACCCAGGTGATGTGGCATACCCAGGTGATGCGGCATACCCAGGTGATGTGGCATACCCAGGTGATGCGGCATACCCAGGTGATGCGGCATACCCAGGTGATGTGGCATACCCAGGTGATGTGGCATACCCAGGTGATGCGGCATACCCAGGTGATGCGGCATACCCAGGTGATGTGGCATACCCAGGTGATGCGGCATACCCAGGTGATGTGGCATACCCAGGTGATGTGGCATACCCAGGTGATGTGGCATACCCAGGTGATGTGGCATACCCAGGTGATGCGGCATACCCAGGTGATGCGGCATACCCAGGTGATGTGGCATACCCAGGTGATGCGGCATACCCAGGTGATGTGGCATACCCAGGTGATGTGGCATACCCAGGTGATGTGGCATACCCAGGTGATGTGGCATACCCAGGTGATGAGGCATACCCAGTGATGCGGCATACCCAGGTGATGTGGCATACCCAGGTGATGTGGCATACCCAGGTGATGGGCATACCCAGGTGATGTGGCATACCCAGGTGATGTGGCAGTACCAGGTGATGCGGCAACCCAGGTGATCGGCATACCCAGGTGATGTGGCATACCCAGGTGATGGTGGCATACCAGTGATGGGGTATACCCAGGTGATGCGGCATACCCAGGTGTCGGCATACCCAGGTGTGCGGCATACCCAGTGAGTGGCATACCCAGGTGATGTGGCATACCCAGGTGTGTGGCATACCAGTGTATGTGGCATACCCAGGTGATGTGCATACCAGGTGATGTGGCATACCCAGGTGATGTGGCATACCAGGTGATGCGGCATACCCAGGTGATGCGGCATACCATGTGATGTGGCATACCCAGGTGATGTGGCATACCAGGTGATGTGGCATACCAGGTGATTTGAATACCAGGTGATGTGCATACCCAGGTGATGTGGCATACCCAGGTGATGTGGCATACCCAGGTGATGCGGCATACCCAGGTGTGCGGCATACCCGTGATACGGCATACCCAGGTGATGTGCATCCCAGGTGATGTCATACCCCGGTGATGTGGCATACCCAGGTGATGTGGCATACCCAGGTAATGCGGCATACCCAGGTGATGTGGCATACCCAGGTGATGCGACATACCCAGGTGATGTGGCATACCCCGTGATGTGCAGGTCAGGTGTGCCAACGGTGAGCATGAAGTGTGGCCCAGGTGGTGGACGGCTAGGTGGTCAGGTTTGGCCAGGTGGTCAGGCGTGGTCAGGTGATCAGGAGTGGTCAGGTGTGGCCAGATGGTCAGGTGTGGCCAGGTGGTCAGGTGTGGTCAGGTGGTCAAGCGTGGTCAGATGTGACCAGGTGGTCAGGTGTGGCCAGGTGGGGCCAGTGGTCAGGTGTGCCAGATAGTCAGTTGCAGGTGTCAGTGTGGCAGTGGGCCAGTGGTCAGGTGTGGCCAGGTAGTCAGTGTGGCAGGTGGTCAGTGTGCCGTGGCAGTGTGGCCAGGTGGTCAGGTGGCCAGGTGTGGCCAGGTAGTCAGTGTGCCAGTAGTCAGTGTGGCCAGGTAGTCAGGTGTGCCAGGTATCAGTGTGGCCAGTAGTCAGGTTGGCCAAGTATCAGGCGTGCCAGGTAGTCAGGTGTGGCCAGGTGTGGCCAGTGTTCAGGTGTGGCCAGGTTGCCAGTATCAGTTGGTCAGTGTGGCCAGGTGGCCAGGTGTGGCCAGGTGTGCTCAGCTTCAACACATCACAGCCACAATGTTGTTTACAAACTCTCCCGGAGGAAAACAAATGACGGTCATTATTTACATTTTTTTGGCTCGAAATGTTTTTTCCCCCCACCATAGTCCCTTGTTCATCCTGGCTGAAATTCGGACATGGAAATGAAGCTTAACAACATGCTGTTACTGTGACGACGTTTCGCCCTCAAGAGAGCTTTTTTCCAAGTTACAACTTGACAAAAGGTCTACACAGAGCTAAACGGTGGCCTATTAATGGCGTGTTTTGCTGCACCTCGCTTTCTATTCACGCTTTTCATTATTCACTTTCTCCAGTGTTTGTTTTCTCTCAGAACTCGTAATGTTTGACATCATGTTTTCCTCTTCCTCCTTCGCTTCTATTTTTATATTCGTTTATCCATTCTTGCACTATCTTCTTTTTTTTTAAATTTTCTCCACCTGCGAATCTTATTCGCTCATGGAAAGGGTAAGAACAGAAGAGAAAGGAAACAGAAAGAAGAAAACAGGTCAGTAAGCTCTAAATGAGCCGATAAAGAATAACGAAGAGGCAGGATAGGAAGAAAGAAAAGAGAAATAGGCACTGGGAATAAAACAAAGGAGAAGGACAAAGGATAAAAGTGACAAAGAACAAAGGAAGGGGGGTTGAAGAGGGTTCCAAGGGAGAATGGCAAAGGAGAGGTGTTAAAAAAGAATAGAGGAGAAGAAGTGAACAACCAGAAATATTCGAAAAGGAGGGGGAAGCAAGGTAGAAAGACTGTGAGAGAAATCAGTGGGACCAGGAAACTACAAGGCCAAGGAGATAAGAAAATGAAGGAAGAAAGAGAGAAATCCAGGAAGATAAGAAAACAAAGACAGTCAGAGAGAAATACGTAAAAAGGAAGGGAAAGAAAGAGGAACAGAGAAATTTGGCCAATAAAAAGTTAAAGGAAAGAGAGAAAAGATAAAAACAAGAAGGAAGAAAGTAAAGGAGAGAATCACGGACAGAGAGAGAGACAGAGAGAGAGAGAGAGAGAGAGAGGATCTAGTAAGATGACAGAGCAGGGAACCTCAGGAGAAGAGATCGTCCATGTCGATGGGGTCGTAGTCGTAAGGCGACTCAGTTTCCACGACGCCCCTCTCCAGGGGCACCACCCTGCCCCTCTCTAGGGCATTTCCTTTACCCCCCTAGCATGTCTCGCCTGCATCACTGCCTCCTGCGGGAGAAGACAGGGCGTTAGCGAGGGAACACACAACACACACACACCACACAGGTGAGTACAATTAGATGAGTACACACAGACACACAGGTGAGTACAATTAGACGAGTACACACAGACACACACACACACACACACACAGGTGAGTACAATTAGATGAGTACACACAGACACACAGGTGAGTACAATTAAATGAGTACACACACACACACACAGGTGAGTACAATTAGGTGAGTACACACAGACATGCACAAAAGCCAGACTATATAGGAGGAAACTTTGCAGAGATGAGGGAATTCCCGAATGCTATGGAGTGGGGAAGGGAACTGGAAGGAAAGTCAGAGATGGAGTACCCAGAAGGAATGTACCGGGAGGAAGAGGAGAACTTCATACCCCGAAGAGGAAGGGGAACCAGCTAAGACAGAGCCCTCGGTTCAACCAGAGATGCACAGAGACTAAACAGAGGAACATAATAAACCCTATAAAACGTGAAGGACAGATGACAACATGGAAGTGAGCGTATTAGCCAGAAACTTGTATGCAAGAGTGAGGAGAAAGACTCAGCAACAATTTAACAATGATATAACAACCAAGGCCAAGTCTGACCCATAATTGCAGTAAAAGACCAGGAAATTCGATTCAGCAAGTGGGGAGAGCTCGAGGTAAATGACAAGGATTGTGAAGGAGCTGAACAAACGATTTGAATTCTTCGCAGTGGAAACAGAAATAGTGTCGGGGAGTCTAGGAAAAAGATCACACTGACAGGTCCTGGACACCATTTAACAGGTAAAAAATATAAAAAAAAATACTTTTGATGATCCTGGATACATGAAAGACAATGGGACGACAAGGTGCTACCACTGATTCTGCGAGAGGGAGAAGAAGCATTGTCTGAACCACTAACTCAGAGCTATAGCAAGTCAGTGGACATGGGACAGCTGCCAGAGATCTGTAAGACAGACATGAAGCAGTGAACTGCAGACTAGTATCACTGACATTTATGCATTACAAGGTGATGGAGAATATAGTCCGAAGAAGAGGTAGAACATTTGGAGAGAAGTAGTTTTATAAACAGTAACCAGCACAAGTTCAGAGACTGTAAATATTATCTTAACAACGTGTTGTAATTCTATGACAAAATAACGGAAGCGAGACAGGAGTGAGAGGGTTGGGTGGGTTGCATTTTCTTGGAGTGCAAGAAGGTATTTGATACTATACTCTACGAGTTACGAGGGCAAGGAAACAATATTGAAAGCAGAAATAACAGAAAACGCACTCACGTACATCAGAGAGTACCTCAGCAAGGAGTGATTGTCTGGGAATTGATGTCCAGAATGGGAAAGAGTAATAAACGGGTTTCCGCAAGGTTCTGTGTTAGGGCCAGTACTGTTTCTGGTTTGTGAGTGACTTACTAGATGCGACTGTTTCAGATGTATATTTGTCTGATGATGAGGTAGCAGTAATGAGGTGAATACGAGCAGACGAGGTGAAGTAAAGGCTATAAACGGATTTCAATCAATTGTAAAATTGGCCAAATAGGTGGTTATTTTAATTCAATCCCAGCAAATATAAAATTATGAAGATTGGGAAAGGGGAAACAAGACCTGACACAGAGTGTAGACTCCTGGGACATATGCTGAAGACCTCGCCCAAAGAGAAAGACCTAAGACTGAGCATTATGCCTGGCATATCGCCAGAGGCTCACATCAACCGAATAACCTCTGCAATCAATGCTCGCCCAGAATAATCCGAGAGACCTTCAGGAATTCCAACAAAGAGTAATCCTGGGCCCTTTAAACAACATATGCCAGGCCCATATTGGAGTATGAAGAACCTGCATGGAATCCACACCTTAAAAAGAATATTAAGAAAAGGAAGAACGTAAAGAGGTATCCAACGAGGCTAGTTCTAAAACTAAGGGGCATGAGCTATAAAAAAAACCTAGTGGAACTGAATCTATTGACACTTGAGGACAGAAGGACCAGGGGAGACATGAAAACAACATACAAAATATTTAGAGGAAATGAAATGGTAGGCAAAGACAGGCTGTTTGGGGGGGAAGGAAACAGGTACTCGGAGGCACAGCTGGACCCAGATGAGTGGAGGGATGTCAGGAATTGTTTCTTTAGTCTCAGGGTGGTCGAGAAGTGTAATGATCTCGATGATGTGATGGAGACGGGCACCATGCATAGTTTTAAGAGCGGGTACGATGGGGCTCACCAGGCTAGGATGGAGTGAATCTGGCAAGCGGCAAAATGAAAGATGGGGCCAAGAGTCAGGACTCGACACCTACAACCATATATAGGTGAGTACTCAGACATACACACACACACACACACACACACACACACACACACACACACACACACACACACACACACACACACAACCATGCAACGCAACCATAACTAGGCGAGTACAACTAGGTGAGTACACACACACACACACCTACCTTGGGCACACACTCACGGTTGAAGCACACATACTGATCAAGATTGCATGGTGTTCCATCTGGCAGGTGAGTTGCTACGTGAGGTAAGTCCTTAAACTCATACCTGGGCGTCCACAAGTCAGTACTGTTCTTCTTCTGGCAGTACAAGGCACATGACTGCCACACCACGTCTGTGTACATAAATTACAAGCTTGATTAGTTAAAATACCCTGGCTAGAACAATTCATAACTAACCCACAATACCGTGGCTGGAACAATTTATAACTAACCCACAATACCGTGCTGGAACAATTTATAGCTAACCCACAATACCGTGGCTGGAACAATTCATAACTAACCCACAATACCGTGGCTGGAACAATTTATAACTAACCCACAATACCGTGGCTGGAACAATTCAAAACTAACCCACAATACCGTGGCTGGAACAATTCATAACTAACCCACAATACCGTGGTTGGAACAATTCATAACTAACCCCCAGTTTGCAGAAAAGATTTTAGGCACTGTGTCGATCCATCATGGGCATATGAGGAGGCTTGTTCAGGAAGGCTAGGAGATTTTTGCCGTATTGGGAGGATCTGTATCCTTGTCCTGGCTGGATAGGGGGTGGATAGTGGGAGAGAGAGAGAGACAGAAAGAGAGATAATGAATTAGCACTGCACATGGAGCACCAGGAACACAGCTGTGCTCGTGTAGCTACGGAATAGATTAACACACCTGGTGTTTTACATGGGATGTCGACTGACTGCCATCTCCCCACGGATTCTCTCTCTCTCTCTCTCTCTCTCTCTCTCTCTCTCTCCTTATCCCTCCGTCCCCCTCCTCCTTCTATTATCCTTCTTTCTCCCTTTTCCTACACTTCCTTCTCCCTATTCCAGTCTTTCCTTGAAGATCGGAAATAGGGGGCTTAAGCCTCACCTCTCCATTTCATCATATGTTTACCATTACTCCTGTTTTCTCTTTCCTCTCTCTTCTCTTACTCTTATTCTCCTTTTTCTCTTTCCAATTTCTCTCACTTATCTTAACCTCTCTTCTCTTTTTATTGCCTCCTTTCATTCAGTCGCGTCAGCATCTCTTGTGTTCCTCTCCTACTCCCCCTCTCCTACTCCCCCTCTCCTACTCCCTCTCTCCTACTCCCTCTCTCCTACTCCCCCTCTCCTACTCCCTCTCTCCCCCAGGAATTTATCACCCCAAGTGTGGAAGAAAAAGAGAGGAACATTAAGAGGAGGCAGAGGAAGAAAGATGAGAGGGAGGAGGGGGAAAGGAAAAGAGGGGAAGTAAAGAGAGGGAAGGAAGGCATGAGTGGCCCATTTCCGGTTTTCTCACTACAATATTTACCTTCTTTCTTTTTTTTCAGAAGGTGACCAAGGGTTGGTAAAGCTATTTTGAAATTCCACTTATGACCTAAGAAATATATTTGACTTTTCTTCTGGTGTTGTGAAGTGATTATATATGTGAGAGAGAGAGGAAAAGAGAACATAGTTATGCTGCTGTAACTCCAGATATTTAAACACACTTATCTTATTCAAGTAATATGCAAATTTACGTAAGAATTTTATCAATTGGCTCGACTTGACTTGAGAAGACATTTTCTTTAAGAGACTTCAGGTAGACGCCTCCATCTCTCTTTCTCTCTCTCTCTCTCTCTCTCTCTCTCTCTCTCTCTCTCTCTCTCTCTCTCTCTCTCTCTCTCTCTCTCTCTCTCTCTCTCTCTCTCTCTCTCTCTCTCTCTCTCTCTCTCTCTCTCTCTCTCTCTCTCTCGCTCTCTCTCTCTCTCTCTCTCTCTCTCGCTCTCGCTCTCTCTCTCTCTCTCTCTCTCCTCACAAATGCTTCCCAGAAGCTTTCAGGGTAAGTGAGGCGACCTCTCAATAGTGTTGATATCCCCCCTCGCATGTTGGAAGGTCGGGGTCCCCGCCCCCTCGCATGTTGGAAGGTCAGAATATTCGCCCCCTCGCATGTTGGAAGGTCGGGGATCTCCGCCCCCTCCCAATCTAGGAAGTCGGGATCTCCGCCCCCTCCCAATTTAGAAGTTCGAGATTCCCGCCCCCTCCAATCTAGGAAGTCGGGATCTCCGCCCCCTCACAATTTAGAAGTTCGAGATCTCCGCCCCATCGCAATGTAGAAGGTCGGGATCTCCGTCCCCTCTCAATCTAGAAGGTCGGGATCTCCGCCCCCTCTCAATCTAGAAGCTCGGGATCTCCGTCCCCTCTCAATCTAGGTCGGGATCACCGGCCCTTCGCAATCTAGAAGTTCGGGATCTCCGCTCCCCTAGCAATCTAGAAGGTCTGTCTCGGTCTTAGACCTTAAGGACCTCCTGAGTAGAAAACCTCTCCTCCTGTCACAGACCCCTAGAATGGACAGCCACTCCTGTCAGGAACATTTCTGCGCTATCATGCTGTAACTGTAACACCCACCTCCCTCTGGGTAGACACTAATAATACCCTTACTCCCCCCCTCCTCTCCCTTTAACACTTCACTGATAGCATCACCCCACACCCTCTATCCTTTAACACCCTCACTGACAGCATCACCCCAATCCCTTTAACACCTTCACTGACAGCAACAGTCCCTGACAAGATCTGATCCACAATACCTTCCCCTTTTCCCTCCCCTCTCTCCTTCCATTCCCCCCCCCCCCCCTCACTGAAAAGACAAAGGGAAGCATAAGAAACAAAACCAATGTGAGATCTGGCCCTATAATCACATGTAAAATAATTTTTGCGTTTATTAATTCTACGAATTATACACTAAAAAAATTATATATATATATATATATATATATATATATATATATATATATATATATATATATATATATATATATTATATATATACATATATATATATATATATATAATATATATATATATATATATAATATATATATATATATATATATATATATATATATATATATATATATATATATACCGAGGCAGGGTGACCCAAAAAAGAAAGAAAATCCCCAAAAAGAAAATACTTTCATCATTTATTCAACACTTTCACCTCACTCAACATAATCACTGTTTTTGCAGAGGTGCTCAGAATACAAACAGTTTAGAAGCATATACGTATAAAGATACACAACATATTTCCCCCCAAACTGCCAATATCCCAAACCCTCCTTTAAAGTGCAGGCATTGTACTTCCCATTTCCAGGACTCAAGTCCGACTATATAAAAATAAACCGGTTTCCCTGAATCCCTTCACTAATATTACCCTGCTCACACTCCAACAGATCGTCAGGTCCCAAATACCATTCGTCTCCATTCACTCCTATCGAACACGCTCATGCACGCCTGCTGGAAGTCCAAGCCCCTCGCCCACAAAACCTCCCTTACCCCTTCCTTCCAACCTTTTCGAGGACGACCCCTACCCCGCCTTCCTTCTCCAGCAGATTTAAATGCTCTCCATGTCATTCTACTTTGATCCATTCTCTCTAAATGACCAAACCACCTCAACAACCCCTCTTCAGTCCTCTGACTAATACTTTTATTACTCCACACCTTCTCCTAATTTCCACACTCCGAATTTTCTGCATAATATTTACACCACACATTGCCCTTAGATATAACATCTCCACTGCCTCCAACCGCCTCCTCGCTGCAGCATTCACAACCCAAGCTTCACACCCCTACAAGAGTGTTGGTACTACTATACTTTCATACATTCCCTTTTTTGCCTCCATAGATAACATTTTTTGACTCCACATATACCTCAACGCACCACTCACCTTTTTTCCTTCATCAATTCTATGATTAACCTCATCCTTCATAAATCCATCCGCTGACACGTCAACTCCCAAGTATCTGAAAACATTCACTTCTTCCATACTCCTCCTCCCCAATTTGATATCCAATTTTTCTTTATCTAAATCATTTGATACCCTCATCACCTTACTCTTTTCTATGTTCACTTTCAACTTTCTACCTTTACATATATATATATATATATATATATATATATATATATATATATATATATATATATATATATATATTTATATATATATATATATATATATATATATATATATATATATGTCGTGCCGAATATGTAAAATGGTCAATTAGCAGGAATCATTTAAAATTAAGTCCTTTCTAAAAATTTTTCTTCTTCCGTTTAAAGACATTTTGTTTCATTATTGGATGTAAAAATTATATTTGCACCAAAAAGAAATTAGGATAATTACCTAACCTTATGTATAACAAAAAATATTTATGTTAGCTAACAGCTTTAAATACATTTTAGATTTGTTTTACAATAATTATAATATAATACAAAACAGTGAAAATATATATTTTTTCGTTAGGTTTCAAAATGGCTTTTTGCAGAATTAATTGCATTACACAAATTTTCACTTGTCCTATATGGAATATGAGCGTTTTGTATATTAAGCAAGATCGCAAGTTTTGCCTATTCGGATCGACTATAATATATATATATATATTATATATATATATATATATATATATATATATAATATATATATATATATATATATATATATATATATATATATAATAAAACACGTACTAAATATCGTAACGCTTCTTTCTGTCTCTCAGATGACCTGACCTGAGCTGTGGGATAACTGACGGCCGATACCGTCAACATCAGTCTTCAGAGCTGCCACCACTTGACAGAGTTGACTGGCCAGTTCATTGACAGTCCTCCTGGGAGTTGTTCCACACACCTGCATGAACAACACTTGTTATTAACACTCCTACAACCTGAATGAGAGAGAAAATAGGGAAAGAGACACCTCTTCTGTTCCTGTTAAGAAAATGCGAATAGATTCCTATTTTCTGGCCAGGTGGGGAAAATACGGGAAACGCTCTATTTTTTGGACATGTACAGAAAATATGAAAAAGTTCAAAGGTGAGAATAACTGCGTTGTGAAACAGAAAAACCAAAGGTTAAACGAGAGAGAGAGAGAGAGAGAGAGAGAGAGAGAGAGAGAGAGAATATAGAAGAGAAGTCATAGGTCAAAAAAGGCATTAGTAGACAAGAGAAGGGATTGTTAGATCAGAGTCAAGGGTGGATGATAGGATGAGACTACACTAAAAAAAAATAATAATAAAGAATAATTAAGACTAATAAAATTTAATAATAATTAATTAACAAATAATTATTAATATAATAATATTATATAATGATAATATTATTATTATTATTATTTTATTATTATATTATTATTATTATTATTATTATTATTATTATTATTTTATTATTATATATTGAGTTTTTTTTTTTTTTCCTGATTTTATTCTTTTTACTTGTCCTTCTTCCTCCATCTTTTTTTTTTCATTACGCTCATAACACGACACAGTCTGATCCGATCTGTTTCAAGTTTCAGTATTGTTGAAGAATAACTTGGTCATGACTCGTTCAATTTCTAGCAAGTGCAGGTGCAACACTGCCATCAATGTTACAGAACCCATTCCAAGATCCTGGGAATGGTTCTGATAACTCTCGCAAGCCTCTGCTGTATGTCGGTAAAACACAATGTCCAGTTTGTGGTATTTTAGTGACGAGATTTCTCGTCCACCAAGAAGTTAATTCTCACAGAGATGGGTGGAGAGAGAGTATGTGTATGGAGAGACGAGATGCGTACAGATGGGGGACTAATATCGCTTGCAGTGATGTGTTCAGCCAAGGTAAAACTTTTAAAATGTGAAAATAGGTAGTTGAGTAGACCGACTTCAGTACTTCTCCTTAGAGTTTATGTAATAGGTGCGTTATGTCCAGTGCTTCAGAAATTAGGAATGAACCTGACTTCTGAGTGATAGTGTTAGTGGTTGTGATCAGAGCAGATTCTAAGCAAAGTCGGCTCCTTCTGTCTTCTTCCTTGATATCTAGTTCAGTGTTGGGGAAGTTCATCAGTCAGAAGTCAAGTTCATTCCTAATTTCAGAAGCACTGGACACGAATTCTGTGTTCCCTGATCCTCGTGTTCAGGTTCCCATAAGATCCACAACGTAAAACTTATCAAAGCTCCCACAAGGTGCTATGAAAGAGGCCGACAGTTGATGTAACTGGTATGCTATTTTCTCTAAAAAGTCGTTTACTGTGTTGGAGCAAGTTATGTTGGCAACCCGTTGTTGGCTTGTGTGTCAAGGATTTGGAGAGTTACTGTTTGTATTGTCAACAGATCGGACTTGATCAGCTCGGACTGAAATCAAGCTGGCGTTGGTGTAACAGAGCTTCTACACTCATCCTGCAGTCAGTAATGAAGTGTCGTGGAAGGCACGACCAATGGGTTCCCCCCACAGACCCCTTTGAAGTTCGGTCCTTGTCTTGTGTTACATGTATCTTGGTGATGTTACTTGGTGCTAGCCTATGTTAGGCAGGTCCTAGGACTACTGACTCATGCTAAGCAGGTCCTAGACTACTGACTCATGCTAGGCAGGTCCTAGGACTATGACTCATGCTTAGGCAGGTCCTAGGACTACTGACTCATGCTAGGCAGGTCCTAGGACTATGACTCATGCTAGGCAGGTCCTAGGACTACTGACTCATGCTAGCAGGTCCTAGGACTACTGATTCATGCTAGGCAGGTCCTAGGACTATTGACTCATGCTAGGCAGGTCCTAGGACTACTGACTCATGCTAGGCAGGTCCTAGGACTACTGACTCATGCTAGGCAGGTCCTAGAACTACTGACTCATGCTAGGCAGGTCCTAGGACTACTGACTCATGCTAGGCAGGTCCTAGGACTACTGAATCATGCTAGGCAGGTCATACTATAGGCCTATTATCTCAATTCTCTTCTATTCTCATTATCCCGTGTTTCTCCATTTTTCCACTCCTCTTCCTCCTCCTGTCCCCTATTCTTCCTACTATCCCCACCTCATCCTTCCCCTCCTCTCCTTCCCTCCCCTCTTCTTCCCCTCCTCTCCTTCCCTCCCTCTTCTTCCCTCCCCTCCTCCTTCCCTCTTATCTCTCCTCCTCTTCTTCCTCCCCTCAAATTCTCCTCTTCTACCCTCCTTCCCTCGTACCCTCCTCTCCCTCCCTCCCGTTTTCTCCCCTTTCCCTCCTTTCCCTCCCCTCAACCTCCTCATCCTCCTCCTCCTCCTCCCCCTCCCTCGTGTGTTCTATGCATCGGACAGCGTGTACCTTAAACCCACAGTCAATAACACACGAGACACCGGCCCATGGTGCACCCTGCCTGCCCACACCCTCACGGCAGGGCAGAAGAGAAGAGAGAAGGCAGGGGAGAAGAGAAGCAGAGAGAAGGCAGGGGAGAAGAGAAGGAGAGAGAAGGCAGGGGTGAAGAGAAGGAGAGAGGAGGCAGGGGTGAAGAGAAGGAGAGAAGAGGTAGGAGAATAGGAAAGAGGAGGTAGGGGAGAAGAGAAAGAGGAGGACGAAGGGAAGAGGAGAGACAATGAAAAAGTTAAAGCCAAAAAATAAAGCGAAGAAAAGAAAAGGGAAATGTAAAATAATATACTGAGGTGGGAAGGAGAAAAGGAGGAATGATGGGGCTGGGGGACAGAAAATGGAAGAGGGAAAGTAGCTAAAAAAAAAAAAAAAAAAAGAGTCAATGAGGGATGTACAAGTGATCAGGAAAGTGGAAAAGGACCAGGGAATGAAGAAGGTGCCGAAAGGTTAGAAAATGGTTCAGGGAGTTGGAAAAAGAAGGAAGGTCAGGGAAAAGGGTGAGAAAAGAGGTGAGGGGGACTAAAAATGGGAAGACCACAGGTAGATACTGTAGTGTTACCACGAGAGAGAGAGAGAGAGAGAGAAAAGGGCACTCACTACTGATGGTTCCAGTAGCAACATGTAGAGGCTAGAACGCAGACGAACGGACGGAAGGACGGACGGACTGGAGAGAGAGAGAGAGAGAGAGAGAGAGAGAGAGAGAGGAGAGAAGAGAGAGAGAGAGAGAGAGAGAGAGAGAGAGAGAGAGAGAGAGGAGAAGAGGAAGAAGAAGAATTCTAACCAAAAATTAACTTTTTATCTTTCTCCAAGTTAGAAAGTTGAAAACTTGTGTGATGGATGGATGGTGAAGCCGGTGTACGACAGCTCACGTTCTTGAGGAAGAGGGAACGTACAGACAGCAGCAGCAGCGTGCGAGACGTTATTTCCCGGTGACGAAGAAGGGGGAGAGAGGAAGGGGCAAGAGAGGAAGGGGAAGAGAGGAAGGGGGAAGAGAGGAAGGGGAAGAGAGGAAGGGGAAGAGAGGAAGGGGAAAGGGGTGTTAGAAAGATATTAGAATGAGATACTTTGACGAAAGACGAAGGATTATCTTACTCTAAATTCTCCTTGTGCCCTAACCCCCCACCCATATTTATCCACGAACTAGAGATAACAAGCGTTGCACAACCCGGTTATAACGACGGTGTCAAGTACACAACCCTACGCTTGTTTCACAACCCGGTTATAACGACGGTGTCAAGTACACAACCCTACACTTGTTTCACACCCGGTTATAACGACGGTGTCAAGTACACAACCCTACGCTTGTTTCACAACCGGGTAAACGACGGTGTCAAGTACACAACCCTACGCTTGTTTCACAACCCGGTTATAACGACGGTGTCAAGTACACAACCCTACGCTTGTTTCACAACCCGGTTATAACGACGGTGTCAAGTACACAACCCTACGCTTGTTTCACAACCCGGTTATAACGACGGTGTCAAGTACACAACCCTACGCTTGTTTCACAACCCGGTTATAACGACGGTGTCAAGTACACAACCCTACGCTTGTTTCACAACCCGGTTATAACGACGGTGTTCAAGTTACACAACCCTACGCTTGTTTCACAACCCGGTTATTAACGACGGTGTCAAGTACACAACCCTACGCTTG